GTAGGTTAACACGATGCCTGAAAATAACGACACAAACAAGCGTCCAGAGGATTTTAGAGATGGCTGCTAACTGTGAGACGTTCTTCAGTTCCAGGGATGAAGGGTTGGATCTTTGAGTCCAACTAACCTCTGAGAATAAAGTTATTTTAGATGTGAGAAAACACACAGAAAGGTGTGCATATTTATGCTAACGGAGAATATTTTGTGTCAAAGTGCTAAACTGGGATTTCCCTTCATTTGTTTTACTCTGTGTTCTTTTAACTTGATGCATTTGGTATTTTCTCTTTGACATTTTCATTTTTTGGAGGAACTGAAGCAGCTTCAGCGCTGACCAGAAGAGAAAGTTCTCAGTGAGCTGCAGATGTGGAGTCCATCATTTTCTGTGTGACAGCTGATGAAGACGGATGAAGCTCAAACTCAACATCAGAATGAGGAAGCAAAGTGATTTAGGGCGGCTTTGACATGATTGTTGGTGAGTATTTCAGCAACTGCTGATCTGCTGGGACTTTCTCACACAACCATCTCAGAGGAGAGAATGTCAGCCTGTCGATGCTGACCCTGTCCGTCCCTTTATGACCGCAGTCTCCCTCTTCTGATGGCTCAGATGGTTTCCTGAACGCGACTCTCTGACGTTCTTTCTTTTGAAATATGTGACCAGGAGCTGCGTGTGAGCAAAAACAAAAGGTATGAGACTAAATCATCGACTCTCGGGTCAAACCGACGCCTATGACGATGGCTGCAGCCTCAAAGATGAAAAGATCAAAAGTGAGACTAAAATGTTGCCGAACGTAACGGAAGAAAAATACAAAACACTCGAACTAAATCAGCATCAGGTGGCAAAACTAAGCATTGGTATTCAGTCATATTCACGGTCATGCACGCATCACATGTGAGACACATGAAGCCGGGCTGCCACACTGTGAAACATGATTGCACATATATAACAGCGAGGCCGGGACAGAAAGAAAGGGAATCGTATTACTTTGACTCCATACATAAAGCCCCCCCCCCGAGGGCGGGGACTCTTGAAGGGCTTTTAGCCAGCTTAACATTTATCCCCCCCTCCCTAAAATGAAGCCGGGGGCAGCGCGCTGGATTTACTGTACCTTCAAACACACATGGAGCTGATTTAGCTCGAGCCGCATGGAAAAGTCCCAAACGTCTCATTCCTCCTCCGGCCTGTCAAACACATCAGAGCCTCCCGTCTGCAGGAGAGCTCGCTGTCAGGCCGGATCTTTCTATAACATCAGCAGTCTCTGAAATAGAGAAAAACCGTGAGTATGCACGTCGCAGCTGCTGTAGGCGAGCATTTCGGCACAGGGATCACCTTCTTCTTCATTTTGATGCAGGTTTGCTCAAACACCTCACCCTCTCAGGACTTTTCCACACTGTGATTTGATTGGTTAGCAGCAGGAGTATTGGAATAAAGGCGACTTCACTGGCTGACGCAACCCCAGCCAGCATGTGTGATCAAACCATTTCTAGTTGACCCCAAGCATCTTCTTATGTGTTAAGTCTTTGATGGTAGGCGAAATATCAAGCCTCACAGTTCACGTGACGCCAACACGTCGGAAGTGAATGAGAAGCAGGACCATCAAAGAATCCCGAACAGGAACAGGGAAGCTGGCGACTGACCGTGAGACACACCAGCCAATCATGTTGTTACACACTTGAGAGGTTCACAACGACTTCAGCAGAACAAATATGTCGTTTTAATGTTGTTGTGTTGGGAGCAGTGTAGGTGAGCGTATGACTGTGTGTTTCTGTGCGCTTGCTCTTTGTGCATTGCTTGGCAGGTCACACCGCCATGTAAGCTGATCCTCACGGAGCTCAGGCTGATTTGGGGAACAATGCAGGAGGCGGAACACGTCCGCGTTGTTTCTGACGGCTCGAACGAGCCGCTGGAGAGCCTGAGAACGTGATCCTCATTACTGCAAACAGCTCACATGGACTCAGGTCCAGGCCAAACACAGAGGAGTCATTAAAAGAGCGGGACCAAGACTAAACATGAGTTTGTGATCATTCTGTCAGTGATCATTCGCAGCGTTACTACGGGAAAGTAACGGTAATCTAATTACCGTTTTTGCAATAGTAATCCCTTACTTTACTCGTTACTTGAAAAAAGTAATTGGATTACAGTAACGCGTTACTGCCCATCTCTGCTGATGAGAGACATAGGATTAAATCGGTCCGTAAGGTTACGTAACTCCTGCAAATGCTGTTAGTAAAAGTGATGACACTGTCTGTAATAATTAAGTAAGATGTGAGATCAAAAATAATGAATAATGAATTTAATACGGGTGACATAAAACGCAATAGTTCTGCTTTGAATTCGCTGCAGGAAGAGTAAATATGTGCAGCTCATCTGGGTGCTGTGCAGAAAAACATTCAGGTTGATGAGAAAGAAAATGTCATCAGCAAAGAAGTGGGGCAAACGTTGCACATTATTGAAGAACACAATGTTCTGTGTGTGTTTAGAAAGGTTAGAGAAGGAGGGCGGAGAGGGAAACAGAGAGTGGAACGAGCGAGTCCAAAGTTCAGGTGGGTGTGATGTTCGCTTCCCTCCCCCTTTCACCTCCCATTAGTCAGCGAGCCACTACAAAAATACAACACAAAGGGCTAAAGCAGAAAGAGAGGCGCAGTTACAGGAAGGCTGTATGAGTGAACAAAGAGATGATGGATGGGAAAAGAAAAAAGAGGCAATGAAAGACAACTTACAGTGCACGAAAGGGTCAAATATGAACTTATTGATCAGATATTCAGAGATGTAGCTTTGAGCATTTGAGAGAAAACATGTCAGCAAACTAAAAGTACAATAATGAAAACAGAGGAAATGAAGCTTGCTCTGATGGCTAATCTGACTGCTGCACTGGAGAAGATGAAAGTAGAAAAATAGAAAATAGATCTCTACACATGATGCAGTATACAGATAATAAAAGAGGCCGAAAACAGAAACATCATTCACATCATCCAAGTCTTCAACAGGCCTTGAAAAGCACTTTAATAACAGCCTAATTGAATTTTTAAAGTTGCTTTATGCAATTTTAATTATTATTACTACTTTTAACAGGAAGAAGCCTCCGGCAGAACCAGGCGGGGGGGGGGGGGGGGGCTATCTGCCGCGACCGGACACATTAAGTAATAAATGAACACATTAGAAGCTGTGTCTATTTCCCAGATTGATGTGAGCGTGTACAGTCCTGATATTAGTGCTGAGCTGTAACCGTCTGAATCTTTAGGTGGAATTTCAGAGGGCGGAGCTTTGCACCAGCCAGTGACAGTGATTGTTCTCTTAAGAGGTCCCAAATAAAGTGACAAAATCAAAGCCGAAAAAGTGAAGCTAGAGTGCCACAACCTGCAGTTACTCTAATGTCCACCAGAGGCTCCAGCAGTCAGGCATTCCCCATTGACTCCCATGTTAAAACATCCAATTTTACAGCAGAAAAAAACACTTTTACAGTCTGATACAAAAACTGTTCAGGCCTCTGTGGATATTTTCCTCTTCATGATAACTGTACATTTTTATCATTCACCTGTTTGGACTGCATAACAGCTTCAGATTAAGGCTTAAAGTAGACTTCACCTCTCCATCACTGTATTGTTGGAGCCTTTTGTAGCATTTTTAATTAAATACAAATCCTTGGGAAATAAGAGAGCAGCCAAAAGTAGAAGGAAATGATCAATAATAGGGTTTACTGTGAAGTGAGAGGAGACAAAATGATAGGTGGGAGAGTGTAGTAGGTACTGAAATACCTGACTAACTGATTGAACAAAGGTGTGGTAGAAACAAGGTGTGAAACAGAATAAAGTCTGGAGGTAGATCCAGCTGAAGTGTGTGGCAGCATTTCAAAATAAAACAGGAAATGACAGAAACTCCACATCAGCCTGGGATTGGTGGGTGACTGAAAGGATGCTTAGTGGAGTGGAACCAGCTGAGTAGTGAGGAGGGGCAAGTCATGAGACTCTGCTGGTGCGAAGAGATAGTCAGGCTGAGGTTTGAAACAACCACAGAAATGAAGCACAGGAGCAGAAAAACCACCGTCATCCAGAGTTTACAGATGACTGAAAGAAAAAACAGTTCTGTGATGAAACTGCAGGATGGAGCGAGGCCTCAGCACACTTCATTAGAAAGAAAAGGAGGATTATTAGATTAAAGCTGATGTCTCATAGTGACTGACCCTACAGACAGAAACCAGGGTGGAAAAGTCTGTGCCTGTGAAGGCGAGCAGGTGTGACTCACTCAGGTGTAACAGCAGCTCCTGTTATTTCAGACTGGATAATGGTGTTATTGCAGACGCCTCGTCACTCTTTCCACCATCATGAAATTAGACTGCAAAGAAACCCGCTGTGCAACGAGGCAACAACCATCGCATTCACACCCTCACACACACTGAATAAAATAACTCCCCAGAGTTTAAGACATGATTTTAGCATGAAAAATGTTCCGTGTTTGCTCAGCCGTCCACTGTTAGTGGAGAAGTAATGATGCGTAACGATGCTACGGTCAGTTTATTAGATTTGGGTACACACACACACACACACACACACACACACACACACACACACACACACACACACACACACACACACACACACACACACGTTGGTGTTTGTATATGTGTGAGAACTCTCGCTCACATGTCACACACATTCTGGCCCCTTAAACCTAATTCAACTTTTCTGCACTTTCTATTAAAAAGAAGTTACGGCAAGTTTGTGAGTCACTGAAATTCAGTATTTCACAAGATTAATTATGTTTGCAGATAAAATTTCAATATTAACTCAGCCCAGAATCAGAATATTTCATCCCTGTGTCCTCAGTGGTAACTTTTTTGGTAGGTAATTAAACATGTTAAGTAACTAAAGTTAATGAATTCAGCACTTTTCAAGAACAAGTCACAAAGTGCTTCATGATGTAAATAAGATGAAATGGTATACAGGAGGACTGCACAGGTCTGCTTTCCACGCTTGTCCATCCTATGACGGTCTTGTGTGCGTCGTGTTGAGTTCTACGTCTCCTGTCTCATTAACCCTGATTTGTTGCCGATGTGTTTCCTGGTGTTTCCCATCTCCCTAATTACCCGGAGTCTATATGTTCCCCATGTCCTCCCCACTAGGTAGTGTGCTTCCCTCCTCTTCTGATTCTCAGTTTTTAGTTGTGTAGCTCCATCTCAGCTGTGTTTGATTTAACAAATATTAATAAATCCACCCTTTGAGTTTATATTCCATCTCTGGAGTACTGCACTGGGCTCTTATTGCTGCCCTAAAAGTAAGTCAAGTAAAAATTGCAGTTCTTCTTTGATAATAGTAAAAAAGTTTAGCATTGAAATACACTTACAGGAACAAAAACCACACTTTGCAGTACATTTGACCACTAACATGCCTGCTGTGTGGATAATTGTATTAACAGACTGTCCAAAAAGTCTGAGCTCCAGTTTGGGGAGTGATATTGATTTGGATGTAACTGAGCACTAACTAGCCAGGCTCTGTGTCTGTGATGCTCCCATACAGTCTGTGGATGCAGTTTAAAGTAAAGACTTAGATTGGCCCCATAGAACAACACTGACTAAACCTGTGACACTGGAGTATAAAACCAGTAGGCGACGTCATCGTGGCCACATCCATATTTTATCAACTGTCTGTGGTTGGACGTGATGGCCTCAGAGGATGTTCCTGCTTTCACACAAAGGCTCTGCAAACATAAAGGCCTGTCACTGAGCGGGAAGCAGCTTGAGGCGAAGCCGAGCAGGTACGCACACAGGCATGCAGCTCTGCAGAAACTGGGTTACCTGACTGTGCGCTGTCTCTGAGGGAGCTTTGTGCCTGAGTCGACGCTAAAATTTCAAACGCTTTGCAGGTGTCCCGTCACCAAAATACCCGCCATTGTTCTGCGCGGCTGTAAAAACTAAATGTTTGACTGCTGATATAAATTTTACAGCCGCTGTCTTATGTAAGCGGGCAGAAACACAGACACACGGCCCTGTGTGAGACACTGCGTTTGTGTAGTTTGACCTTTGCTAAACTTTGTTGTTAAATATAACTGAGATGATCCTGGCAAAAGATTCTACTGAATAAACTATTAAAAGTTAGAAAACAGGAAGCACGAGGACCTGACCTCAACTGAATCCAGCTGAGACGTGTGTTTATATTAGTGGAAGTAATAAGTGTTGAAAATTGATTGTAGAAGGAAAAAAATGGATTCATGGGAAGAAAGGATTACAAAATAAAACAGGAAATGGCTCTTTTAGGCTCTTTGTGCTGGTCTTTTTAAATTCAATGTTACTTTTGTAATAACAGTCTTAATGTGCAAAGTTCTGTCCGGGTTGTAGTGGATCAAATACTTATTTCAGTCAGTGAAATGCAAATCAGTTTGTAACTTTTATGTGGTGTTACTGTGGAGCGCTGGCTGGTATTCTGCCTCGCTGCATTAAGATAAAGCTACTATAGAAATAGAGAAGCTCATTTCTTTGTGAGTAAACTTCAGACGGGGATCAAATGCTTTCCTCCACTGTGTGGTTGTATGAACTGGCCGGCTGTGTGTGGTGGGAGAGGAAAAACTTTATTTTGGGTAAAATCTACAAACGTTTTCATGGACTTCCTTCTAGAAGAACTTAAATTGCACTGAATTTAAAGCTCGATGTTATGTTACTGCACGCTAACGTGCTTCTTTTCTTTTGTCTCTGTATTTTTTTATTCTTTAGGATTTATCGTTCTTTTGTGTGCCTTTTGTGTAGCACTTTACACAGATGATCCAAGGCCTCACTTTGGTCCAGGTCACCCTAACAGACTGATGATGTAACTAAATATAAAACTGGGAGGAGCAAAAAAATATGACATCATGATTGGCTCATTGTGTGTTTTCTGGTAAGGCCATTACGGGTTTTTTTTTTCTTTTTTATTTGAACAGTGTGCGCTATTAAAGAAATCTTAAATGTCTTAACGTTAATCTGGTGTAAATCTGCAGAAAATCTGCTGTAATTCATCAAATCTTTTATCTCCGCTCACTTCCTGCTCTTCTCTGCCTCTTCAGTTTTCACAGCCTTCAACCTTTTGGCTTTAAGCAGCTGAAACAAAAACAAAACTCAAGTCAGGTTCCTCTGAAGACATGCAGCCCTTTGTCCTTGGATCATGTGGTGGTGTGTTTCTGCATGCGTGTGCATTGTGGGAGATCACACACACACACACACAGTGCAGCTGCCGGCCTCCTTGACTACCAGCCGTCAAACAAAAAAAATCTTTTCAAAACCAGCCTCAGGAACCGACGGAGAGATGATTAAATTCTCCATGCAAGGAGTTCAAAAGCAATAAAAAATGAAATGAAAACACGGGCGGTGTGCAACACAAAGACCTCATTGTTGCTGCGCAAAGGAATGCCTACAAGTGTGTGTGTGTGTGTGTGTGTGTGTGTGTGTGTGTGTGTGTGTGTGTGTGTGTGTGTGTGTGTCTGTGGGCAGAGGCCATGAGGAATGTGAGTTTTTGCATGGAGACAAAAGGTGGCCTATGACTGGGAGAGAGGCAGCGAGGAAGAGGCACAGAGAGGGAAACAGAGGAAGAAACAGACAGAAGGCAGGAGCTGCTCTCATTTCTATGCTAATACGTTAGCTTACACTTGTGTTAGCGTTTGCAAAGAAAGGCGACGAGTTAATCTCAAAGTTGTGTTTTGCTTTGCTTAGAATGAGCTACATGTTTAATATTTTTTTACTAATGTTAATAAAGATTGCTCCTCTGTAAGTGATGAAGTATGAAACCTGCTTCTGTGTTTATTAAGGCTGTTGTGTTTTTAACATGTTTTAAAGCTTTGGATCTTGTTCTATTTAATCTGAACAAGCCCCTAAAAAGAGCCAAAAATGACACAATCCAGAATGAAACTGCTTGTTTGATGGAGGACAGGTACGTGGCAACAAGCAAACGATGGCTTTAAACTCAGGAACTTGCAGAAACACAGAGCAACGAGGTTCCCAATCACGATGCAGACGGCCTGATGACAACTGAGAGCTGAAGCTGGTCCTTAAATACTGACAGAAGGGTCGCCACTATAAAAATGATGATCTCGCCAAAAATAAATTACTTATTTTTGATGATCCCTAACAAACCATCACAAGATTGGTTCAGATCTCTGGATTCATATATTTCCAAATTCCTTTGGAAAGATAAACCCCCGCGTATCAGCTTAAAAACGCTACAAAGAACCAAGGATAGAGGAGGATTAGATCTGCCTAATTTTCACCAATACTTCTTAGCCAACAGGCTTCAGTTCATCTCAGAATGGTTAAAACATACCTTCTTAGTTGAGCCCTGGCTAGATGTTGAACAGGCACTATGCAAGGATCTAGAGATTTCAGACCTACCATTTATTAGCTCAAACATCAAAAGACATGAATGCTTTAAAAGCATCAACATCAGCTTTTCTCTGACAGCATGGTGGGAGTTTCTAAAAATAACGGAGTCTTCATTAATCCCATGCAAACGTACACCTATCTGGAATAACCCTGACATATTACAAAACAATAATATGATTAATTTCCCAGAATGGAGTTGTAGCAGCCACCAGGCCCAGGCTCGTCCAGCAGCCACTAGGCCCAGGATCCTCCTGCTCCACCAGGCCCAGGATCCTCCAGCAGCCACCAGGCCCAGGCTCGTCCAGCAGCCACTAGGCCCAGGATCCTCCTGCTCCACCAGGCCCAGGATCCTCCAGCAGCCACCAGGCCCAGGCTCTTCCAGCAGCCACTAGGCCCAGGATCCTCCTGCTCCACCAGGCCCAGGAGCGTTAAGATGCCGCCTAAGAGGAGCAACGTTAATGAGGAGGAACTGGAGGACATAAAGAAATCCCTAAACTTTAGGTCTGAAGAAATAACAACAATTTCAAAACAACAAAAACTGATACTCAATTTAATGGATGATATTAAAGAACTAAGAAGGCAGAGCGAGGAAAAGGACAAGAAGATTGCTATGCTGGAAGGACGGGTGTCAGATCTGGAACAATATTCAAGAGTAAATGATGTGATAGTGACAGGAATGGAAACCAAGCATCAGACATACGCACGGGTAGCAGCATCAGAGAGAGGGGAGCCACCCGAGCAAGAGCTACGCTCTTTGGAAGAGCAGGTAATGGCCTTCTTTAAAAGCAAAGGTATAGAAATGGACAGTAAAAATATTGAGGGATGCCATCCTCTTCCGAGAAAAAATCAAATACCTGCCATTATCATTCGTTTTGTTAATAGAAAACAGAAAAAAGAACTGCTCAAGCAAGGAAGAAAGCTAAAAGGTACAAATGTTTATTTAAATGAACACCTAATCAAGAAAAATGCAGACATTGCAAGACAAGCAAGAATATTAAGAAAACAGAAGAAAATACAGTCAACTTGGACGTCAGACTGTAAAATATTCATTAAGTTAAATGGAACACCAGAGCAGGCTAAGGTTCTAGTCATCAAAGAGATGACGGAACTAGAAAAATATAACCGATAAATGCAAAGCAGTGCTAAATATGATGGGACCGTCCAAGTGCACAACCAACGCAGATGTCTGACGATTTTCAACTAACAACTCATATAGATATTGAAAATAAGACATTGATGTATGACAGCAACATAGATCCTGATTGTAATTTCTTTAACAATAAGACAAATGAATGCAATTATTATACAAATGAGCAACTTAAAAAGGAATTCAAGGTAGAACAGGGTATAACAATGGTTCACTTTAATAGTCGAAGCTTATATGCAAACTTTCAATCCATCAAAGACTACATAACACAGTTTGAACAGCCATTCAATGTGATAGCCATATCGGAGACCTGGATAACTCCTGGAAAAGAAGAAGACTTTAAAATAAATGGATATGAATTCCTTCATGTAGACAGGATCAACAAGAAAGGAGGTGGGGTGGCACTTTACATTGATAAAAACCTAAAGTACAAAAGAATGGGAAGAATGACAACTGTTATTGATGGAGTGATGGAATGTTTATCAGTGGAAATAAGTATAGAAAAAAGGAAAAACCTAATTGTCAGTTGTATATATAGAACACCAGGATCTAAGATTGAGATATTTAAGGATAATATGGAGGACTTATTTACAAATATAAATCAGAAAAGAATGTTTATTTGTGGGGACTTTAATATTGACTTATTGAATCCAAATCATAATAAGAGTACAGAAGAATTTATTGATTCCATGTACAGCATAGGTTTATTTCCACTGATAACAAGACCGACCAGAATAACATCTCATTGTGCAACTCTATTAGATAATATATTTACAAATATAATAGAAGGAAAGATAAAAAGTGGGCTGTTAATCAATGATATAAGTGACCATTTACCAGTCTTTGCATCGTATAATTGCCATTATAAAGTGAACAACGATGGACATAAGATTATTTACAAAAGAATAAGAACAGAAAAGACCTTAAATTGTCTTAGAAATGAACTTTTAAAGCAAGATTGGAATATTGTGTATGAACAAACAGAAGTTAATAAAGCTTACGAAGGATTTTTAAGAACATTTAACACATTACTTGATAAAAACTGCCCAGTAATTGAAATCAATAGGAAACACAACTATGCAGGAAGTCCATGGATGACAAAAGGACTACAAAATGCCAGCAAAAAAAGAATACCTTATATCGAGAATTCATAAAAAAGAGAACAATAGAAACTGAAATGAAGTATAAAACTTACAAAAATAAATTAACTAATATAATGAGATCCTGTAAAAGAGAGTATTTCATTAAAAGGTTAGAACACAATAAAGATAACACAAGAGATATATGGAATGTATTAAACAGAATAATCAAAAATGAAACAAGGAATAATGATTACCCTGGGTACTTTATAGAAGGGACAAGAAGTATTAATAACATGGAGGAGATAGTAAATGGCTTTAATGAATTCTTCGTAAACATAGGGCCAAAACTGGCAGAAGAAATAAAGGTTGATGGAATAGAAAGGGACACTGGTGAAAATATTGAAAGCTCAATGTTTTTAAGAGCAGTGGAAGAGAAAGAGATTTATGACATAGTTAGAGGACTTAAGAACAAAACCAGTACAGACTGGAATGATATTGATATGGTAACGTTAAAGACAGTTATTAATGGTATCGTAAAACCATTAAAATATATATTCAACTTGTCGTTTCAAAAAGGAGTTTTTCCACAAAAAATGAAAGTTGCTAAAGTTATTCCCATTTACAAAACCGGTGAAAGACATCATTTTACAAACTATAGACCAGTGTCAATACTCTCCCAGTTCTCTAAGATACTGGAAAAACTCTTCATAAAAAGATTTGACAGTTTTGTGGAAAAATATGAATTAATGACAGATAGTCAGTATGGGTTCAGAAACAACAGATCAACAGCTTTGGCACTGATAGATTTAATGGAAAAGATAACGGAATGTATGGATAATAAGAGGTATGCGCTCGGAGTTTTCTTAGATCTAAAGAAGGCGTTTGATACTGTTAATCATGAAATTCTATTAAAAAAACTGGAAAAGTACGGGTTTAGGGGAGTGGTTTTGGAATGGTTAAAAAGCTATGTAGGGAATAGGCAACAATATGTACAAATAAATGAATATAAATCTAATTTGATGGATATAGCTTGTGGAGTACCTCAAGGTTCAGTACTGGGTCCAAAAATGTTTATTATGTACTTAAATGATATCTGCAGAGTATCGGAGATTTTAAAGTTTGTAATATTTGCAGATGACACAAATATACTGTGTTCAGGTGTGGAGTTGCCACAGGTTTTGGAAATGATCACACAGGAATTAACGATATTAAAGAAGTGGTTTGATATAAATAAATTATCATTGAATCTAGATAAAACCAAATTTATGTTGTTTGGAAACCAAAAGAAAAACATCGAAGTAGAAATATGTGTTGACAATGTATATTTAGAAAGAGTAAATGAAATAAAATTTCTTGGGGTGATCATTGACCACAAGCTCTGTTGGAAGCCACACATTACTTATGTTCGGGGGAAATTGGCACGGGGCATTGCCGTCCTGGGGAAAGCAAAGCATATGTTGGATCAGAAAGCACTGCACATTTTATACTGTGCTTTACTACTGCCTTAAATGAGCTACTGTGTAGAGGTCTGGGGAAACACATACAAAAGTAACACACAAACAATAACTATAATACAGAAAAGGGCCATTAGATTAATAAATAATGTGGGGTACAGGGACCATACAAATGCACTCTTTGTCAAAATGCAAGCTATTAAATTCCAAGACTTGGTGAAGCTTAAAACAGCGCAAATAATGTATAAAGTCAGAAATAAATTGCTTCCCAAAGAAATCTGTAAATTGTTCATAGAAAGAGAAGGTGGGTATAACTTAAGAGGGAAATGGAATTTAAAAATACAAAGTGCTAGAACAACTTTAAGAACTATGTCAATCTCAATTGCAGGAGTTAAATTATGGAACAGTCTAACAGAAGAAATAAAAGACAGTCAAAACATAAAACAGTTTAAAGTAAAATATAAAAACCTAATTTTAAATAAGTATAAGAATGAAGAAAACGGGGTTAACCCAGGACGGTAATGTTGCTGGTAATGGTGTTGCGGTTCTTTTTTGGTTGTTTTTTTGTTTTTTTGTTTTGTTTTGTTTTGTTGTTTTTCCATAACTTGTGTATCTGCAAATATACACATTCTGTATTTTTCATATGAAAGAAACTATACTGTGGTGGGGCTTGCTAATTTCTTGTTTTTGATTTAT